TTTCCCAACACATGTAGAGCATATCAGCTGAAAACGATAATGTTTGAAAAATGAAAGAGAAAACGCTAAATGTAGCAGCACTTACCCAGCCACAGTCGCGACAATGATGACGGCGGTTCAAGAATGAAAACACCGTATCGCATCCCTCCATCAAACATTTACTTGAAGCGTCATCAGGAATCCACAGCGGTTTCATAGCATCGGACCGAATTACCTCTGCAAAAAACCCCTCTCAAAACAAGTCGATGAGGATGAAAATTGGTAGGAAATGGTTACTTCGCTTCGATGACAATGGTCCATTGGAGGATGGTCCAGGTTGGTCATCGACTGGTGTACTTGGGTGGGACGAGGATTCCTGCGAATCCGAGTTGCAGCGTGAACTACAAAAGTAGGTGCAGTTGAATAAACATGCAGAAACAAAAAGCTCACAAAAGTGTAGCAACATTTTAAACATTCCTTTCAACGAGAAGTCCTGCCACGAATCAAACAAATGTCTTGCAAGTCTTCATAGAAGGCCAGGTCTTAATGCTGACCATAAGCTTGCTTGGGAGGATAGAAGCATTGAACACTACCCACAACCCCTTTGAATATGAAAACAAGTCGCACTCGGTGCACGTTCCGGAATCACTTGATTGAAATCATCCAGTCAACCTCAACTAGTAACTGCACAACACTTCAGCGGAAATGAAACTCCTCTTATGCAATTTTCATTCTGATAAGAAACCCGCCTGAGATCATACGAAAGTAATATCCTGAGTTGACATATTTGGTAACTTGCTAAATATGCGAACGCAGTAGGGGGTGTAGTGTGGACTGCCCAGGCAACGAAATATCCATAGACATCAGGGCACATTTTGTCGCTGGGGGAAATCATTGAGCAAGGTGGCACGTAGGACGAGGAGGAGGGGGCCGTACTAGAGAAGGAAATTAAGGGGAATCGCAATTTCTGCGAAGTGCGACCCCCCTCCCCTCCCTAATTCCCTCTGTGGTTCGACCCCTCTTCCCTATCCTACCTACCATTTTGCTCAATTTTCCCGGAAATTCGTAGGTTTTCCCTTGAAATTTTGCGGTGCCCTCAAGCGGGAAGGTTTGGGAGAGGAGGTGGGGGTTAGCACATCACATGGGAAACGGGTAAAACTGCAAAGTCGAGAACAGGGAAAAATCTTCTCTATCCGAATCCCTCCCAAAGTGACGAGCAAATACGACCTCCCCAATACGAGTCCCCCCACACGTGAAACAGGAAAAAAATCCACACTCAAAAAAGTTTTTCTAGGTCAAGTATGGGCCTCCTCTTTGCAACGACCAGACATAAAAAGTCTCCTTCCTTTCCTATGCGCACACGACTGGCCATAAAAGCATCGATCACAACGACTTTATTGGAAGATGCAGATATCTGCCGTAGAAAGTGATCAAGTTGAATCGGCCACTAGAAAACTGAAGAAGCCCGGAAATGATAAAAACTTCTACCACCAAAAGGGGTGAGTTGGACGTTGCCTGGATGAGTAGCTGGATGAACAAGTTGGATGAGCAGTTCGGAACTACGTCACTGCTCTGTCTGATCAACACATTTGTTCACTATAGTATGAATAACTCAAAGGTATCGCGCATCGATCGCGTCGAACGCACGACCGAAGCGGTGCTGTCGCGAAATGTGAACGCCGCCTAAGGGTATGGCCTACGCTGTTGGCCCGCTGAGGTGGATCCTCCAAAGACAAACTGTACGTTCACATACGTGAATCCCGGCCCTTGCCATGATGTGTGAATGAGTTCGCAGCTGCAGCAGCGTGCCACTTACTCCGGTCAGAGATGCACAGGAAGTGGGCTGGAGTGTAGTGGTACCACCGTGCTGTCTCCATACTTTAACCGCATCACTGCTATCCAGCCCACTTCCCGTGCATGTCTGAGCGAAGAAAGTTGCACGTTATTGCAGCTGCGGATTCATTCAGCTCGCACATGGAAACAACCGTCTTTGGTACCGTTAATCTCTAAGTTCTCGAAGTGTCATCAAAACCATAAGTTTTTGTGACCACCACAAACCGTTTTCAAGGAAACGGCTGCAGCGTTGTGCTGCTATCACCACTGCTTGACTTCATGTCTGTGCAATACAGGAAAAGATAGCCGAGAAAGGAAAACTGATACAAATCTGTGAAATAGAAATTGGCGCGAGGGCTCCGAGGTACAGTATGATAGAGGTATAAAAGAGGTTTAGGTTGCAGTCAGAACGAATCAAGAGTTACTTACCTCATCAAGGGCGGCAAACCGTGCGCAATTTCGCCATTCGTTGGAAAACCACTGTCATTCAAGATGGTTCCGTTAGCGTCCGTTAACGTGTCCTCCGCTCCAGCAACCTCGGTTAATGGTGCTTCCAGCATTAGGGGATTCTAAGAAATACCAGGTCCGATAGTGACTGAGTAAAGAAACCGCACAATACAAACCAAGCTTTGCCGCCTCTGCTTTTCTATGGCCTCGCTCATTCGTCTTTTATATTTCCTTTTCTCTTCCCTTGCGTTGTCGATGTCTTTCTGCCACAAGCTTCGTTCCCGTGCACTACTAAAGAAGCGAAATTTCAGTAAACTCGAAGTTCAGCAAACAGAAACTGACTGAAAGCTACAGAACAGCACCTCATGATGAGAATTAAACTCTTGTACTTGCTCTTCACATAAAGCTGCTGCTCATAATCCTCATGTGGATTACTTTCAGTACGAACTGTCTCGATCGGAATGCGATAGGACCGACCCATATCGAAAAGACCAGACGAACCAAAACCAGACATCACACGGCAGATCCACAGGGTATCGGAAAACTGAGAAAAACAACTATTTCTTCACTGTAGAGTAATTCAAAGTGTTATCACGAAGTGAGTAACTCACAAGTACAAGATGCCGTGGCTGTGGCTCCTTTCGCGTCTGCTTCAGAACCTCTCCTTGACGAATAAGCCGCCTACCCGGGTAGAACACATCGAAGTGACACTATAAACAGGAATCATTTTTGAACGAGGAAATGTGTTTGCTGTATTTTCACTATCAACTCTGTACTGTCTGCAGCAGAGGCGATTCAACTATGGGGAAAAAGTATGGCAAGATACTGCTAATTCTGAGCTTCATCCAAAACACTGAGGGTTGTTTTTTAAAGCTTTGCGCTATCCTCGCTATATCGCTACTTTTTTCGGTCTTTGCAGTGCTCTGGAACCGAGCTACGAACTTTTAAAATGAGTATCCTGCGGTTTAGGGCAATCTCAACACATTTTGAGCGTGCCCAATACTCGCCAGATATTTACATTCTGCACTGAGCTTTTTGCGGCTTCTGAACACTCTCGCGAACCGAGTTACTGAGTTTTATGCGAAGCACCGCCCACCTTGAGTACGCCCCGCCCATTTTGGATGTGTCTGCCACAGTTAGTCTGGCGACTCCTTACTAACCTTATTCCCTTTTTCCCCATCTTAGGCTGCTCCGGAAGCGAATTATGAACATTTTTCTGTGGAACCCCAAAATTTCAGCGAGTGCCTGTGGGCGGGGCTTCGCATAGGTCAAGTGTGCTTTTTATTTCTTGTCCCATGCTCTACCCATCCCCACCTTGACCCGACCTCTCTAAGTCGTTCTTCAGGTCGAACCGAATTTCCGGACAGACAAACAAACAAACAAACAAACAACGGCCCGAATCTATATATAATCATGTGAGCTGATAGCGATACAGCCGAGGATAGGCGGCACTTACCCGGAAAAGCGATGAGGTGCGCGCTCAACTCCCAACCTCTGGACAGAGCGCGGCCACGACTTTTGCCCACAACTCAGCATTCTTGTGATAACATTCGGAACGCTACTGAGGCGTTAAACAGCAGTTATCATAAAAACCGGATTAAAAAACTTGCAAAGCGTTCGGCCTCGAGGTTCCAGCAGATATCTAAGGATTTAGGCCTGAGCAAGCTTACCCAAGTTAATCACGTCTGTGAGTGCTGTAAGGTTACGGCATAAGCCGTTAAGCTGATAGGTTAAAAGCGGCCCTGGTGGCGTAACGGATAGCGCACTCGCCCGGAAAGCGTGAGGTGCGGGTTCGACTCCCGCCTGGGGCACGACTTTTGCCCACAACTCAGCATTCTTCGTGATAACTGAGGGCTGTGTTTAAAGCTTTTGACTTCTTTAACACTTTTATTGACGGGATTTTTTGCAATGCAATTGCCTTCGTCAGCCGTTAAATAAATACTCCTTAGAGCGCACATGTTACCAGTTACAACAAGCATAAAATCCGCAGCCTTTACACAGTATCAGCAATGAGGAGGATGGACGTATCGGCGAGGCTAGCGGAAAAAATAACTCGCCCCGCGCCTGTATATAACGATGGAGGCATATGGGAACTCGATGATTAGGCCGATTCTGAGGAGGCCACGTTGCTCCACTTTTGAATTAACTCTGGTTTTACGGGATGATCGCCAGAGGAACGCATATGTGCCGAAAGCTTGTCATTAAAAGGGGTGACAAAGCCAAGAGTTTGTAAATTACTAGTCAGCATATAATAAAAAAGGAATATCGTGAAAAGATCAGTCGATAGCGTATTGGTAAAGAAAAAGCAAATAGTCCAATTCGACCCGAAATCGTGAAGCCCTAGCCCAATACCCCATGGTTCATTCATCTCGAATTGGCACCTTGTTCGTCTCAGATGAGAAACCCTGTTTTTCGATGTTGTAAAGTCATTTGCGAAGCACTGAGGAAAAAAACATGAGAAAATTCACAGATACTCAAGTACTTGTTGCTAACACATGTAAGCGGACTCACAGCGCTCCTCGCGCCAAAACACGCGTATATATTTCGTGTTCAACGGCGACGACGTCACCTCACCTCAAGACCGAAAAATTGAGGTTCGCACTTTGAAAAACTGCGGTGATGCGATAGCTAGTGGTCTCGACTGATATGCCAACAACGATATTACGATCTGCATACTGGTGATGACTGGTCTTCGTACTGGAATAACTCTTCAGTCATGTCTTTTCGCAAACAACAGTACCTGACTTACTGATTTGTCCGTCTGCATCATTTTCTTGACTATCGGGAGGAAATCCCACCGCGAGACCAATCATCGTTCAGTAGGTGAGCTCCAGACTGCTGCTAATTACCCATGGAATAGCCCACTTCCAAGTGAGTTCGAAAAATCAGATTCGGGTAGAATTCTGGTCCCAGTCGGGTAACTTAACTTCCCTTACAGAAGATTAGTACATTCGGTAGGAGATATTTAGAGCTTTATTAGGCTATGCTCTTGCAGAAGAAATGCAAAAGAAGATGGACCTGCCCCGAGAACCGTATCACTTACGACATCTCGCCTAAGAAACCCGCTCCCTGGCCGTTGCGCACTGCTACCACGTTTCGGAACTACTCCATACATAAATGTAAAGACGCATTTCCTCGCCCGTTACGCCGTCATGAAACGCATGCAGGGATAAAACTCACCTGCCAAGCGCAGTACAACGTTGCTGCCAGCCCACCTGGAAACGGACCGTACTGACCTGTTTACCTTTCCTGTTAGCACTACGCTCACAAACTTTAAGGTACTCCATTTCTATATTTTCTATGCCCGGAATGCTCACCTGGAGCGATGACAATATCCCTGTCCTCCGCCATAGTAAACTTCTTGCAGCAACATGCAAAGCTTCTGGGGCCATTCCAACCCCCACCCTCCGAGCTATATCCTTTTCAAAACTAATTCGCTGTTACTAATTAGTTCCTCATGTGATCACCTTGTAGCTACAATATTTTCGATCATGCTGGCACATGCGGTTTGCTGCAAATGAAGGAGCGTGTCCGATGCGATGGATTAGACGCGGCGACAGACCCATTCTCTACCAGTTGTTGAAACGGTTAAATGACAGCAATCATATGATACAGTCTTGTCGCCTGCTCGCTTCAACAAATGTTAGAAAACGAGTATGGCGCCGCGCCAGATCCATCCCGCCTTACACGCTTTTCATTCGCAGAGACCCACACTGTAATGCATGCAGTGATTGCAGTAATGAAGGAAAGGTCATGGCCAGAAACGATGCTTCAATGAGTGGAACTCAGAAACATTTGACATCACTCAATAAGCTCATTATAACTTGAACATTAACTTTTCCTTAGTATATACCTGGAAACGGTCGTACAACTTGAAAAGTTCTTCATTACTTGGCAGACCCATTGATTCGTTCACGGACTGAGCAATTTTCTCTAGTTTTGCGATAGCCTCTGCAACGGCAATAACTGATACAAAACGAAAAAAAAATACGAATCAAGACGAAGAATGTTATGGGACGTACCTAACGTTTTCTTTTGTTCCTCAGTTCCCTCTTTCAAATAATTATTGTAACTCATCATCAGAATTTTATACCTGAAATGAATCTCAAGCTACTTTGCTTCTTTTTTGCCGGCAAATTCAAAATCGTAAACCAGACCTCATAAAATTCTGATGCACTTGATCGAGCTGCTGAACTACCGCACCCACACCACGGTTGAAGATCTTCTGCTCGAACTATAATCGGAACTATTTTGGACCACAGCGCAAAATGAAAAAAGGTGACAGCGTGACAGCCAAAGAAATCCACGTACCGCGACAGTGGCGTTATCGAAATCTTTGTTCTCAAGACGAAGTTGCGTGAGCTCTTGAACGAAACGAGACTTTTCTAAGAGAAAAGGCTTGCAAATCTTCAGGAAGTCAGCATATTTGATAATGATATCAGCCATGTTCGGTCTCAATGAGCTCCTGAAGTTTACAGTTCACACGTTCAAGTAAAATCGCAATATCGCAACCATCAGTGAGATGATGGTCCATCATACAAGTGTTAGTGAACGTGGAGTTATCAGAACAAGGATATCTCCATAGGAGAAACGCTGGCGCAGCTCGGTGACGAATTGGGGGGGGGGGGATTTTGCACTTTCGCTGCTTCACAAGTTCCGGTTTACAAGTCTCACTCTGAGGAAACCTGTGAGCTCCTCTGAAGCGAAGCAAGCTTGTCGAACCCTTCTGCTAAAACCTGCCAACTCAGTTCACGAAATGGCTTTTTGAATGGGTCGACACGTCGATGGGAAGTAGAAGTGCACAATGCCCCCTCCCGTAGCCGAATTGCCCGAAACGTCCACACCCTGCGACACCAGAGATTGTGCTTTTGCGTGATTGTGCGTTTTGAGTCTTTCAACCATGCCGTTTGCCACCACTCTTGTTCACTCAACATATAGCTCGCTTTCGAAGCAATGTTCCTTTCATTCGAAAACTAATTCGAACAACGTTTAGAAGCAGTGGGAATAGTTGAGTTAAAACAACTAAAAGTGATCCTTAACGAAACAAACGAGTTGCCTGTTTGAAGCAAAGGAATCGAACAAGAATGTTGTCAAAAGCTCCGAATGCTAATCGCAAAACAGCAAAATCGCGGTTTCTGACTGATTTGTACTTAATTATAAGTTTGGTCACGGATCCCACAAACTGCAAAAACGTCGCGAACCGTGAACGCCGCTCGATCTTTAAACTGACCATGTATCAAGACGTGAGGAGAACTCGTCCAGAAGAAGTTGATGAAAACGGATGAGTTGTTCAAAGTGCAGCTGTAGTTGTCGTACAATGTGCAACTGACTCCCTTGACGAGCCAAAAGATCCTTCCCAAGTCTCTTCCCGAATTCTGTTACATATTCGGGATATACCTAAGAATACGATGACTTGTCGCGTTTATATGGACAACGATACACCTATGCAAACCTCGCCCATATCCCGCAAATACTTCAGAAACAGTTTTTGCACTGAGTAGAACTCATTAGCGGCATAGTGTAGCTTCTTCAACCTTTTATCCTGCAACACAACAAAGATAGAAGAACTGGCGCAAAATATAAGTACGGCAACAGGCAGCAATCAGTACCTCATTAGCGTCACCGGTGCTGTAATCAGGAACAGAATCGTACTCTGCAGAGGTAGTGGTAACGATACTGCTTCGACTGCTGTACGCATTTTCTCTTTTGTTAGTTGGAAGAGTATCTTCAGAGATCTGAACAAGTAGGTAACGATAGAAGTAAGTTCTATCCTCATTTCTTGAACTTAAAAAAAGCGTGAGTGACAAAGCGTACAGTTGTTGACAAGGAAGTGTTACAGGACGCAGTTCCTTCAGTGGGCTGAAGGGAATTACGCCCTCGGTGGCTATCCGTTGAATGCCCCTCCGATCGTTTTTTCATCATCCGATCACTCGACCTCAAATAGTATACGATTTAAACGCTGGCTAGGAAAGTCATAAATACAAATCGTGCCGAAAAAAAATCAAGAAGATTACCTTATTATTCCCTGCCTCTTCAGTTCGTCAACAATCTTCTCATGAATGGAAGGATCGCCATTGAAACAAAGAGCTGAGGGCCTAGAAAGATTTTGCTTCAAAGGTTGTTCAGTATGTCAAGCTTTCGGGTAATTTTGACTGAACCTATAGGATCAGGAATAAAAGTATTTTGAGAGCAAACTGAGTTGGCTAAACCAGACAGCCATCAGTTCTACAACAATACTCTTCCATACGAAACAGTAGATCGAAGATGTCTCGCAGTAACTTTTTAGCTGATAATGAGTGCTAAGCACCTTCGAAGGGAGAGTTGGGCAGGTCCACCGAGATATGTATCCGCCCTATGCAAAAGAGGAATCCCGTTCTGTCGACCATCATCAGAATCGCTATCTGACAGGTCTGCAGCCTCACCATTCTCAGTGCTAGTGGTTGATACGGTAGATCGTGGCCTGAAAGTATTAGTGAGAAAAAAGAATTCAGAAGAAAAATTACAGGGTAGGTAACCGTTGAACATCACGGGTGCTACGCGGATGCCCGTCGCTTTCTCCAGTTGACTGAGTTGTAGACATTTGGTATGGTTTCAGATTGGCAGAAGGAACATTATTATTTTGGGCACCTTCGCCATCGGACACAAATATCGTAGGCTTCTGAAAGTAGAAAAAAATCATGTTGAAAAATGAAGTATGCAGCAAACATTTCCATCTCAACGAACGCCAGAACAGCACAAATTTTTCCATCTACGATAACTACACAAACCAAATTCCTCTTTGGAACCTTACTACGGTACTTATACGCCTTGGGTACACGTGCTTGCCTTCCCACCCTCCCCCCCCCCGACTTTAGGGTTTCAGATTGGCAGAAGGAACACTCGTTTCCATCAGGACATGATCCCTCTTCCCTATGTAAAGTTTGAGCTTCTGGTTAAAGAAGGCTTTCTCATCTGCGAGGCTATTCCCCGAGGACACTGCTCGCCCGCGCTCTAAGGAAACCTTATTCAAGGGAAGAGACAAAGGCGCTGACGAGTGGTACCTTCTCCAGAGAACCCCCCCACCTCCCAAATACACTGGCGTCCTTAATTACGGTATCATAGAAAGTCTGCCAGTGTTAGGAAAACAAACCTATTTGGTCATGTTGCCATTAGTTTTCAAAGAGGATAACAATCGTGCTAAAGCTGCGGACCACAAGAACGACCAGGTCTAAGATTTTGTGTAAACTCGGATTAAAGGCTTTTAAGGAATATAAACTAATACTGCAATACATCACGCACCTGTGTCCCTTCCCCCAACCAAGGTTTGGCCTTAGTGGAGACTGTCTTCTTCGCACGATTATTATTACGACTCTGCTTGTCTGCGCTCTGAGCCTAAGCTTTCGTTAGGATAAAAGGCGCTGTCAAGTGTTCCTTCCCTCCCCCCTCCTCGCCCCTCCTCTTAGCGTCCCGTATGCTGTACGCTCTCAAATTAATGTGAGCGAGAGAAAAACCATATGGCAGCGTTCAGACTTCGCGACGGCAGCGCCTCGGTTGCGCGTTCGGCGCGATTGCTTTCAACTGCATCGATCGCGTCGAACGCGCGACCGAATCGCTGCCGTCGCGAAGTCTGAAAGCTGCCTATGAGCTAAGTATTGCCGCGTACCCGAGCCTGACGTGAAATGTGCGGCGGCTTGGGAGCAACAGGCGGCTTCGATGTCCTGACTGAAGACAGCTGAGAGTCAGAAAGCCTTGGCCTGTGAGGCGGTACTGGAGGAGAACCACCATTTTCAGGAAGTGGATAGATTGGCACAGCATTTCCTCAAAATAAGCATATTAGGGAAGACCTGATTTTTTCCGTTAAAAATATCAGTGTGTACTAGGAAAGAAGAACCTGAGGATTCCACGCATACCTGAAAGAACACGGGAAGCATCCTTCTGCCGAGACGCGTCTATTTTTTCCTTGATTTGCTCGCGCAGTAAACTTACACATACACTCGGATGGCTTTCGTCGTCAGCCATATGCATCAGCTGAAAGCATGACATGTTGTACACTTCGTAATAATGAATCATCAGTAAGAAACTTGCAAAGGGTCTTGCACGGGGTTTGTTCGTCAAGCTATTTGTGCAAAAAATCCCAGACTTCCCCCTAACCACTTCAGGGCAAAAAAGTACCGATATTCAAAAAGTACGCCAAGCAACAAAAAACAAGACTATCCATTTCGTTTTCCGATGTGTTTTTGGTCCAATAGCTACAGTTCAGCGCCGCAGTGCGCGCTGCGAAAGTTATTACAAGAGTGAGGGTTAGAAGTGAGCGCTAGAAGGCATACCACAAAAAGTCATTGAGCTGAGAGTGCAAAAGCTGCCTCGGTAGCGTGGTGGATAATGCGACGTCTCGGTAAAGCGCGTTCAAGCCCTGACCTTTGCCCGTAACTCAGCACTCTTGTGATAACCATCCAAGTCTCCCCTTCTCATACTGGAAGAACATCTTATAAGTTGAAAGTGTTGATACCCTTTTTCAAAATATAAATAAGTCAGTGCAATTCGGTGAGCAGGGGGGGGGGGCACGGGGGGCATTTTGTACTTCTGCTACTTTCGATCGATGTGCCGAACCATCAAGTCGAGACCTGTGAAATCTTGTGAAGCCATGGCATGATATGAGCCAAAGCTTGTCAGACCACCTGTCAATTCTTGTAAAGCAATGAAATACCATACAAATACCATTCACCATAGTGGCTCGACGAATTTGCTCCAGCTTCACAAGAGTTCACAGGTTTTACCAGATTAAGATTTGTAAACCGGAACTAGGAAGCACTGGATGTGCAAAATGCCACCTCCGTCGTCAAGCTACGCCCAAGAAGTCTATATAAACCTTGGATGGATAATTTCACTTTTTGATGGTCGTAAGCGCATTGCCTTATAGGGTATGGATGCTTATGGATAACATTTGGTTCACTACACAATCACTAATCTCAGGTTATCTCTTTTAGACTACACTTTCGCCAGGGTTGAGGATTTTGGTCGAGTCCGTACGACCCTCCCCCCCCCCCTCCCACAACCCCGGCCCTCTTTCCTCCTCATCGAATCGAGCCGTCGAGGGGGTATATAGTACGCATGAAACAGGAAAATCACGAAAAGTCAACCACCACTCCTAGAAAGGCCAGAAAGTAAATACGACCCCCCCTCCCAACAATGAGCAAGTACGACCCCCCCCCCCTTTTACAACGTCCGTGAAGCGAGAAAAATCAACTATCAAAATAAATTTTTCTCAGCCCAAATACGACCCCTTGGGGATTCCCTAACAATGATGTGCTCTGCTTTGGCCTATGTTTTTGGAGGAAACACCAGAGAAATCATATGAAATGCCGCAGAAAGGAAATGTATGACTGTGCATGTATGTCACGTGGTCCGGAATGTGTAAGAAAAACGCAGGCCCAAAATACATATCATGAAAGCTCGACAGCAATTCGATAGAGAAAAACAAACACTCGTGTCAGCAAAAGGAGGATGATTCGATAAGCGAGGACTAACGTAAAACAGAGCTGAGACTCCATGACCAATAGGCGATCGCGCCCTCAGAACTGATCGCCTATTGTTCAAACACGATGAATGGAAATCACTAAGGAATACGAATGGGAAACGAATTAAGGAAAAAGTAATTGCCGGTAATAACAAGAGGCAAAACCAATACGTATCGCCGTGATTCGTCACCGTTCATTTCCATAAAACGGACTCAAAGTAAGCATTCATGGTCACCCGATTCTTATCTTCTGTACCCACTGCTGCTGATATTTTGACTTCCGCTGAGCATGAATTCTTTAGCCCCACCGGACCGTATCTGGTACAGTCGTCATCCGGGCACTTGGTTAGGGTGGCAAGGGTCGCGACGCGGCTGCGGCGTGTCACGAGCGCGGCGATCAGCTGTTTCCAGCCTATTTTAGCCATTTTCTCCCTAATTTACACTGTTTTGGCTGCTTTTCTCAAGATTAGTTGTTCCTTGTCTTCACAAGGTAAATTATGATTGAGATTCCTCTTTTTTTTTGCGCACAATTAAACAGTTAGGCAGACAATTGAACAAACACCTGAAAAAAAATCGCAAAAACACTCTATTACAGAAACAAAAAAAAGACTCCACGCCCTAATGTACTTCATAAAGACAATAAAACAACTAACCTTGAAAAAATAGAAAATACAGTGAAAATTAGGGAGAAAATGGCCAAATTAGGCTGGAAACAGCTAATCGCCGCGGTCTCTTGCCTCCCTAATCAAGTGCCCGGATCACGACAGTAAATCTCACCGATCGTACAAGTTTCGAACACGCCCCACCGTTCAGCAGTGTCAATGTACTGAGCAAATCCATTCAGCTTGCATGCCTGTCTTTTGAATGGTGCACCGTTTTTCAAACATTTCAACAACTTGCACGAATATAGCAAACAAGGCCCCTCATAGAGTCATTGGTTGACGGAAATGACGAATTTTCCAAACAAAAATCATGGAATTGTTAACCAGCGCTAGCAAGAAGCAATGAAAACTCTGCTGTCTGGCACAAGGTCATAAATTTTTTAGATCTCAACTACGCTTCAACAGAGTACCTATGTAGTTTGTAAATACACACGCCTATTCGCCAGTGCGCAAGTGGACTTATAACTTCCGATGGATATGACGAATTTCTTTCTAATCGCATCTCAACCTTTACAAAATCCGTGCTATCGTCAGGAAGAACTGGTCTCTGACCGTCTCAATATATCTGACAATCGCACCCTCCCTCTTTCCTCCCTTCTTCCCGATTCTTCCTTCTCTCTCTCTCTCTCTCTCTCTCTCTCTCTCTCTCCTCTCTTCGCTATTCCCCTCAAATGTTTCGCCAAGCGCTCGGCCTCGAAAAAGGATAAAGAAACACCTCCGGACCCTCAAGGAAAGAATATCTGGTCGACAGAAGCCCTGTAACCGTTTCTGACAGGGTTTTACTTGCAGCATCTACGAATGTCACTTTACCCAAGGGATCACAGACGTAATCAGTGCGTAAACCCACCTTTCCACGAGCTACTGTTTTCAAACTGGTAACCTTCAAATAACAGAGGTAGTAGGTCCTTTTCCGATAAGCTAAGCAAAAATTTGTGCAGTTCTAGCATTTCGGTTTTTTATAGGAACTTCGCAATGGAACCGCATGATGTTCAAGTGCGCATTTTCTCGGAAACATTTGGTATACAACGTGACATACTTGCTCAAAGATAGTTCTCCAGGGAACATGCATGAGCAGCAAGCGATTTTGCCCTCAAGACGGTTCCATCTGAGAGGAACCGTAGATAAGTTGTATAGCAAAATGTTAGCAAGGAAATGTGCGATTGAAAGACCCCATATCATGCAATATGTATGCAAAAAATATATTAAAAAATCAAAACGGCTCTATCTTCTTATGCAACCAATGAATATGTGTTGATACCCATTCTCCTTCTACTCCGCCAGTCTTGATGAAGCATACTGCACACCATATGCGTTCAGCGATCAAACTGATATTTGAATATCACTTCTGTAGGTACTTTTTGCGTTATTTCCGAGACATTACTGAGTGCGTAGACGTAATACACTGTCCTTTAGTGAAATAATTGGTAGGAATACGTTAACTTCAATGTGCATATGGTGCCTTTTTTGTAGCTGAGAGCTTTATTTCAACACTATTTTTATGATTTTTCATGTCAGGCGGCATTCATTGTCGGTAGGTACACTCCGTATCCTAGAAATAGGCAAGGCGTGGTGGCGTACTTCAGGTGAGCGGAGCGACGGCTGCGCTTTTGATGAGACCTTTCCGTAAGGGGAGATTTTTGATCATGCCTTTGCCTAGCACAAACAAAACTAGAGCACGTGCAGCCGCTGGGAAGATTTTCTGGAAATCGACCTCTTCACCCAAGTTCCTAAGTTCCTCCCTTAATACGACCCCCCTACCCCATCCCACCTATCACGTCCCCTATATTCTCAGCACCCTACAACTTTTCAAAATTTCCCGGTCTTTCCCCGAAATTTTCCCGTACAGAGGGGAGGCGGGGGGAGTACATAGTGCATGTGAATCGGGAAAACCGCGAAAGAAGTCAACGCCTAGAAATCCAGAATTTTTCAAAATTTCCTAACGTGCGGCAAATTTCTCTCAAGAGCAAATACGACCCTCCTCCTCCCCCAGAGACCAAACCCGACCCATCCTGCTGGGGATTCCCCGAAGTACTACGTGCCCTAAGTACAACACAGGATGACCGTTTTTTCACATGGAAATGCGTTTTCCCACGGAGAAATCATCCCGCGTCATGCTCGAGAGAACTATGCCACGCCTTCTCCATCTTCGAGGTTAGGAGCGAACCAAGCCAAGGCGTAAGGGTTTCAGCTCAAGTCTAGAAACGTACAAAAGGATGGCTAAATCGCTTCACTCACAAAGGTGCTCCAACTCGTGCTTGCCCAAAAAGTTCTTCTTCTTCGTGTATAATAAAAGAAAAATGTGTGCAATGGTTCAAAACACTAACACTAAAATGGGCCAGTTTATTGCACTAGCGCCCTATAAAGGGAGGGTTTTGGTCATTAAACTAGGCATATAATCTGTTATGAGTCACAGAAAACTGTCTGGACAGGGCAGAACATCGTAGAGTGCACACCAAAAAAGGGCAATGTTTTGAAAAAGGAGTAGCAATGGTTCATAAAAGCAAAATGATAAGATAAGCTTACATATAGTTGATTTCGAGCGAGCAGTAGAGCGAATGTGGACTCATTCAATAAGACGATGAACGGTATTCGTCGAGGACGAGCAGAAATGTGACTGCACTGGGAATGAATCACCAACCATTATCGATCATCACGCACCTGAACAAGAACACAAGCAAACAATCGCACAGATCCCCGAGTACAGCGCTTTCCCGAATAATCAATTCGTATCGAAGTGATCACTTTATCAAAATCACTTGTGATCAGTGCCGAAAAATTGTGTGACACGAGCACGTCAAAGGCGCAGGGAGAGAGATAGCACCAGAGCGATATGAAATCAGTGACTCATACTCTGTACATATTGA